AAAACACGTATTTGCGAAAGAAGAACGTGATTTGTTTAGTGAAAATCCGAGGTTGAATATGGAGAAATTAAACGTGACCCAATATTTGAAAATATTTGAACGTTAACTAACACGGAAGTAATTCAACCCGTCACTTCATCCATGTTTACCATCATGTTCCACCTATACGACGGTCGCAATTATGACACTTTACTAGTTGTTGAAAATATTTCATGCAGAAATTACCGCCACACCCACACACACGCGCACAAACCCACATATATCACAGAAGCAGAGAATATGAACGGTAGTACTAGTAGAGCCGCTTCGTGAGAGCTGCGGATTAGACTGCGTGCGCGTGACGGAAAGCGAATACGACTTGCTCGTATATGTTTGCAGCACCGGCTCTGCTGCCGAGAAATATAATATACGATTTGTGGCAAAAACATCGAGAGTTCTTGAACCGCGCTTACTCTTAACAACAGATAAATGAAACGACTAGCTGTTACAATTAAACTACGAGTTGATCTTCATCCCGCGCTCTTTAATCTTGTTAAACGACTATTGTATAGCGTTTACAATTGGGTTACACGGGGTACGGCAAAGGTATATAATATCAAGAGCGTATAATGACAAATTTGTCATTATTTGTCATTATACGCTCCTGATAATATATAGGCAGGCTTTATACTAGCCGTGGAGAGAATAATGTCTGAGAAATACTATACCGGTCTATATATAACCCCGTTTTCTTCGTGGTATGGTAGACGGTTGATGCAATAGTAAGCAATTTGCAATGCGAACAATATCAGTTCAACGTATTCGAATTAAAATGCAAATCAGGTTTAAATATAGCAATCGAGAAATCGAATATCGAGAATTACTGTTATTCGTGTATAGAATGCAAACCAGCTATATGATATGAATTCGTGAGGTTAGGGTGTGGAGCGGCGGGTGGGGTGCGGCGGGGTCGGGAGTAGGCGGGTTCAGCGGATAGTGGAGGCATGTGTGGTGAAGCGGGGGTGGAAGGGGTATGGGTGGATTTGTGGGGGCAAATCTGTCTTTACATATGAGTAAGAAACGAAAACGGAAGGATGTTTAGCTGGGTGGGGGAGGGATATTTGTGAGTAAGACGTGGAGTTGGATGTTTTAGATGATGATTATTTTAAATGATTATCCCAATAACTGTGGACCTGCATATACAACCTATACGAGCTACGTACGTACCAACATATAATCCCCGATCTTCACCATAATGAAATCATCGGGTGATATTTTACCTAATACTTTTAGTCAGGTGTTTATTCATTATATCCCAGCGTATAGGCGAAAACAGTACAAATACGTCCGCTTCTACTCGTCTGACAGTACATCGTTGTCAGTCAGCATTCTGCGCTAGCGTAGCTCTGTTATGATTGATGGCGCACACGATATGCAGCGCAGCATACGCCGCAGCGCACCAACATAACGATTACTGTGCATTCAATAGCGAAGTACGCGGCCGTGCACACAAGCAGCCTCCTTAGCTCAGTGGTTAGAGCACTGGTCTTGTAAACCAGGGGTCCTGAGTTCAATCCTCAGAGGGGGCTGAAATGTTTTCTTTCCACTTTATCCTTTTTTAAGTTACATAATGACTCAGCAAATAAGTTTTAACATTCTTACTGTGCTCAATTTATTTTTTTTGCTGTTTTTGACCATTTCTTATATTTTCTTCTTAATTATCTGACTCACGCTATTTCGTTCATCATATCATTAAAATTTGCCTTCCGTAACGTTCACACAACTTATGGCCAGCATTTCAAGTACGTTTAGATACGCCAAAATGTATTTCCGCTATTTTATTTTGATGTTGCGAAAGTGCGGACTATTTCTGCTACTGTGAATGGAGTAATCGCTGTTGCCGTGGGGCCGATGTTGGCATTGTGTAGCCTATATCTAACACTTGACATAGAGTATGTAGCGCACAAACCAGCCATTGTCAACACCACGGGTGAATTACGAGTAGTGCAAAAACTGAAGGGAACCTGACATTCTGTGGAGTCATGTCGTTCCACAGGAAAGCCGCATTTAATGAAAACATTACTAACCATCCAGCGAAGTAGACTAATAACATTGCTGTGTTAAATGAACCCAGACGATTTATGTCAATATTACATTGTACTACAGCTATCAACAGATGAGACCTAGATCCAGATGTCTGTAGTTCATTAAGATAAATATTAATCTAGTAACAGGACTCCCACGTTATCATATTTCTTCAATGACATACAGTTCACCTTCAGCTCGGCTTAACTAGCGATTCTAAATATTTATGAAGATCGCGCACGGACTTATAGAAAGACTGTCCGTAACTTGTAAGCTCTGGTAGTATAATCCGTTTTAATTTTTATATGGCACGCTAGCCTTGACCCAATCTTAAACACCGTAAAATCATAAAACTATAATAAAATGCATTTTTTCAGACGCTATAACACATTATTACGTCATTTCTGAGGAATCTAGAGAGTTCATTTAAGATGTTTAGGGGTAGATGTTGATGGTTAGAACAGTCCACTCCCCCCCCCCTTGTGAATGCAGGCAATACTTTTCCAGTGCAAAGCAAAAACACGTTTTGCCTCACACATGAACAAGAACTATCATATCATGACAAGAACTTCACAATACAAGTGCCGCAGAGCGACAGCGCTCAACTGACGTGTACTGCAGTCGGATATTCTTCTGATAAACTCACTGGCAACCGAATCCAGAGAGACATGATACTATTAAGATTGCATGGCACAGCTTTGCTGTTGATCCTGCGCGCTGCGTTCGGATGAGACGCGAAGTTCCGCGGGATATGCGCACGCGACCGCTGGGATGTTCAAGTATGAAGCGCTGTCCGCAGTGGAGACGTGCGCCAAATTCGAGGCCCGGCGCACGTCTCCACAGCGGTCAGCGGATGGTCTGTAGTTTTAGAAGATAACAATGAACTTTGTTCTAAATAAATACTATCGGCGGCTAAATAAGAGCAATATATACACCATTGAATTTCTTGACTAGTATGTCAAAGGGCTAGTTGGGGGTCCATTATGCAGAGCTTCCAATTGAGATGGCCCATGAAATTGTCAAGTGGAATTGTGTTTTTCGGCCTTCGTCAGCTGAGCTAATAAAACTTATCGTCGGAATCCATCGAATAGCAACAGTATATCTCCGCAAAAATCTGTGAGGGTTTGGTCAAACTTCCTGCCCCCTGCCCCACACATTTACCATACCCTTTGGTGAATTCCTGGACCCGCCCCAGATATCTCACACTTACGCAGATCTAAGATGCAACGTTGTCGTGGTGGCCCGGGGCGGGGAAACGCGCACGAAGATATATA